CGACCCGAATCCTGGTGGCACTGACAAAGCAAAATGGTTTCTCCGAGTTCGTGTGACAGACGGCGGTCTCTTGGAAAGATTCGGAACATTTGTTATAGCTTCGATGTGGTTGCCTGATCTGCTGTGTGTTGTGTCACATTACATGAACCCATGTGTGTCTGGCATTGAAGGCGAGTGGAGCCACCTCGTACCCTATCACTGGGGACGTGTGGCTTCCAAGATGACAGAAGCGCAGGCCAGACAACACGTCATTGACCATAGGCCCTGTTGTGGCCCGACCAGGAGGCCTGGCAACAACTAGAGGATTCATCCTGCGCTGCAAAGAAAAGTTGTGTGTCTGTCTGTGTGCTTGCATTGATGGCAGCGGGTCCTGCTAGATTGGAATGCGTCCGAGAGACTGTGTGTTTCTGCTTGGGGAAGACGGATTGCGAAAGCATGTTCGCATTTTCACACATGTGGAATTTGTCACGTGCAAGCACATGGACAATCATTTCGAGTGCCACAACCCGGAAGCCGCACAAACTAGCACATGTGGTTTGAAGCCGTGCGTGCTTGTGACTGAACAGTAGCCGTCCAGAGCAATGCATTTCGCCCCGATCGAACGAGGAGAGTGTTTCTTCAGAGGCGAGCTCTCCCCAATCTTGATCAAAACCGCTTGCGAAAAATTGGCCAAAGCGCCTGACCAGTGGAAACCAGCTGAGAGATGGAATGAAGTTTATGACGACGTGCCTTGGGAAATCATGGTTCGCTACCTGCGTTACTGGCCACGTATTGGCTCCCGCATTACAGGAGGCCTCAGGCTTCTTCGACGGTACCAAGGCCCCTTCCCGAAGTGTTATCAGGTGGGTGAAGGAGAAGAACCGCTGGAGTTGCCGCGCGTTTCTCTCGTTTGTGATTTTGTTTATGTTTGGAACGACGAAGATGAACAACAACGGCAGTTTGTCCTTCAGATGAAACACCTCTCACTTGTTGCCATCCGTCTCGGTGGTCCGGGGGAACTTCCTGACCTTGATGCTGGAGCAATACCTTTGACCGACCAGCTTTGTGCAAAGTTGGGGTGGCAATAATTAATGGATCTTGAGGCGGGAAGGCAGAGTGCCAGCAGCTGGGAAGGCAGAGTGCCAGACGTTGTCGCGTCACCCAGCTGTACCCTGCTTCGCCTGCACGTGATTCGCTTGACAGTGTGGTCAACGCAGAAAAGCGCAACATCCAGCAGTTCGTAGCCACTTCACGCGATTTGTGCATCCCTAATACTATCAAACCCTAAAACTATGGCACTCTGCCTTCTAGCCCCAAACCCTAAATACTAAAGACCCTGAAACTCTAACCCTAACCCTTTCATTACCCTCAAACCCTAACACTATGGCACTCTGCCTCCTAACCCCAAACCCTAAATATACTAAAGACCCTGAAACTCTAACCCTAACCCTTTCATTACCCTCAAACCCCTAATACTATGGCACTCTGCCTTCTAACCCCAAACCCTAAATATACTAAAGACCCTGAAACTCTAACCCTAACCCTTTCATTACCCTCAAACCCTAACACTATGGCACTCTGCCTGCTAACCCCAAACCCTAAATACTAAAGACCCTGAAACTCTAACCCTAACCCTTTCATTACCCTCAAACCCCTAATACTATGGCACTCTGCCTTCTAACCCCAAACCCTAAATATAATAAAGACCCTGAAACTCTAACCCTAACCCTTTCATTACCCTCAAACCCCTAATACTATGGCACTCTGCCTTCTAACCCCAAACCCTAAATATAATAAAGACCCTGAAACTCTAACCCTAACCCTTTCATTACCCTCAAACCCCTAATACTATGGCACTCTGCCTTCTAACCCCAAACCCTAAATATAATAAAGACCCTGAAACTCTAACCCTAACCCTTTCATTACCCTCAAACCCCTAATACTATGGCACTCTGCCTTCTAACCCCAAACCCTAAATATAATAAAGACCCTGAAACTCTAACCCTAACCCTTTCATTACCCTCAAACCCCTAATACTATGGCACTCTGCCTTCTAACCCCAAACCCTAAAGACCCTGAAACTGTAAACCCTGTGCCAGGTCTTCTTCATCCTCGTCTTCTCGGAAAAAACATTAGTTTTTTTTGTTTTAAAGTTTTTAAAAATTTTTAAAAGTTGTTTAAAGTCTTTAAAAGTCTTTCAAATTCTTTTTAAAGTTTGTAAAAGCTTTTAAAAGCGTTTAAAAGTCTTTTAAAGTATTTTTAAAGCTTTTAAATGTATTTTAATGTTTTTAAAAGTCTTTTAAATATTTTAAAAGCCTTTTAAAGTTTTGAAAAGTCTTTTAAAGTTTGCAAAAGTCTTCTAAAAGTTTCTAAAAGTCTTTTAAAGTCTTCTAAAAGTTTTTAGAATGTTTTTTCTTGCATTTGAAAGTTTTTAAAAGTCTGTAAACGTCTTTAAAAGCCAACTCTGTCGAAAAAGCCCTGTGGATCTAAACCTTGTGGTTCTGGTTCGGTGCAAAGGGGCAATGACTAAACCGTAAACCTATCCACTCTTCGGCTAGAAGCCTGGGACGACTGCTGCTCGCTGACTGCCCTGCGCCCACTGTGCGGACACCGGGCCAAGCTTCGTAAAACTTTATTGTTTAGGGTTTAGGGTTTGCCTTATTTGTGTGGGTTCTATAACGAGTGTATTGTTTAGGGTTCAGGGTTTGCCTTATTTGTGGTGGGTTCTATGACGAGTGTAGGGTAATTAGTTGTTGCCTTTTTTGTGGTGGTGGGAACGGGGTGTTTCCGAGTTTGGGGTTGATGTAGGTGTTTTTTTTTTTTTTGAGGGGGGGGGGGGGGGGCGTGGTCCTAAACCCTAAACGGGTCTGGGGTGTTAGGCTGCGCCAAAGAGGGCCGAAGGCTCATGAGGGTCTAGGAGGAAAGGCTTGCGCCGGGAAGCTCTCCTTATTTGGGATCCTCATAATAAGGATCCTACTGTTTAGGGTTTAGGGTGCTACGTTAGGGTCCCCTATTTTCGGAAACCCCCAAATTTTGGCTTAGGGTTTGGGGGCTGATTTCGGGAGATGTTGAAGCGCCGTCGGCACGGGGGTGGGGATTGCAACTTCCAGTGTGACCCTCCTGACCCTCTTGCCCAAGCAGCTTCAGGTACCCAGATCTAGAAAGTAGATTTCCTGATTTGGGGCCCTATACTACTACGGGTACTTTATAGGAACCCCCATGAAGGGATCTACTTTTTGGATCCTCCCGGGGGTCTGGGTACTAGGGTCTCTGGATCCGATCAAGGTGAACTCCTAGCCTCCTGAATCTCTCGAACCTGCAGTTTCCAAATCCCTCAACTCTTAACCCCTTTAAATTCATCCTTCAATTGTGGATATTTCTCATTCAGTTCCTTGCAATATTGTGCCTTGTCTCCATGCCATATTCTTCGAGCTTAGCAGCGACAATCTCCTAGAGAGCTAGGCCTTGGGACCCAAATCTTGACAACTCATCACACTAACTGAATTCCCAAGGTCTTATATGAAATCTCTACAACCAACAAAACCCTACTACTGTAGATAGCAACTAGCCAACACAGTCGAAACACTCTTAACAAAACAAGGTGAAGTATAAACGGAGCATTTCGGTCACAACCCGTGCCCTCAAACTTTGCCTTTAGGACAAGGCCCTGAGCCTCAAAAGGCTGAACCCTTAGATTCCTGAAGATGCTCATGCCTCTCCTAAACTAGGACCTAGAGTAGGCTCTTATTCCTTTCTTTTAGGGTTCAGGTTCCCTTATAAGCCCAGTTAAACCTAAAAGGGCACCCTTTTTTATTCCTAGGTTACTCCTGCGTCTCCTAAAACCCCATCAAAATGGGAGTTTCCGATAATAGGGGATCCTAACATGGTAGGATCCTTAGTATGAGGCCCCTCAGATAAGGTACCCCTAATGTTCAAAAACCCCTCTCACAATGGTTATGCTGTAAAGCACAGGCCCGGCAGTCCCTCCTGCAAAAAGAGCCCGGAAGCCTGAATGCATAAGCCCAAACTCGAGATAATCTCTGGAAGTTCCAAAAAATCCATATAACAGTGGATATGTATATATATATATATATATATATGTATGTATGTATGTATGTATGTATGTACATAAACGTTTTGTATTACATATAGAAACATACATATATGCATACACATATACACATCTCTGTTTGTTTGCTTGTTGATGTCTTTGGGGCGAGGCCCGAGCTTCTCATCGACGTGACATTCCTGTTGCCACCGGGCCTCTTCTCTGAGGCTTGGTTTGGGTTTTAGGGTTTAGGGTTTAGGGTTGCAAAACCCAGAGACTCCAATATCCCTTAATTAAGGAATATTCCTTAAATCATATTACGGATCCTATTAGAATTCAAGGTATATTCCTCAATTAAGGGATATTGGAGTCTCTGGGAATCCACCCCAAACCCTAAACCCTAATAAACCCCTCAAAGAACCCTGATAGATCCATTTAAAGAAGCCTTATGGTATGTAGCTGAGGAGCCCCTAAGCCCTTAACGCTCTAGGCTTATAACTATAAGCCTTGTATGAACCCCGATTCCTGAACTTTAAGGGCTTCGGGTTTAGGGTTTAGCAGTCTCCAGAAAGCCCAGCACCCTTTGATAAGGAGCATTCGTGTGTAGTTTTGGCATATGGCGGTATAGCCCTTGAATGCGCATACAGAGCCTCATAGACTTACATCTGGTTTAGGGTTTTGGAAGGTCTTAGAGGATGGTACCTTATCCGGAAAATGGGCCTGACTGTCTGATTCAATGCATGTTCTTGTATGAACCGGCAACAGGCACGGGGGTCACTGAGTCTAAGGCGTTTTAAGTTTGAGGCTTCAGGGGTCTACAGGTGTACGGACATACATAAACTTAAACCTGATGTCAATGCTCTCAAGAACATCGGCATACGATGAAAAACCTTCAACAGCCAGCAGAGAGGCTGGAAAGATCCGTCTGCACTTCTTCGGAAGTCGGCCCTTTGCGCGGTGGCTGCTTCCACCGATGGTCCTCCCAAAGCAGGAGGACATCCGATTGCAGTTTGGTTCAAGGAATAAGCAGCGACCGGATTTCAAGCATGACGGATCTGACCACCACCCTAAGTCGGGATGGTTCTGAAAATGGGAGTTTCCGAAAAGAAGGGGTACCTTCTTTTGGGGTCCTTATAATACGATCCTACTATTTAGGGTACTATATTAGGGTCCCCTGTTTTCGGAAACTCTCAAATATACAGGGCTTCCGGAAGGTACTAATGACGTAGCAGATCGCCGGCCCAAGGATCTCAGCACAGCACCATGGAAAAACAAGTCTTCAGCTTTGGCTGGACCTGCTGAGATGTTCAACCTCCAGCTTGCCTCACATGCTAGTGCCATTCGGGACAATGGAGTAGGGTTCCGGTGGCGCTGCAACCCTAATCTTACCTTTGGTTAGTAGGGAGGGGAAGAATGTTAGTAATAGTAGTTATAATTGTACCCCATTCCTCCATTCCCTACTGACCAAAGGTAAGGAACATGCCAGGTTCCTGTATCCCAGTCCCGTTTACAGACCTCTCCTGGAACGGTTCCCGTCAGACCCAAACCCCAATCCGAAACGCTAAGGATCCCTAAAACCCTAATCCCTAAACCCTAATCTCTCAGGACCCCTAAAACCCTAAAACCCTAACCCCTAGGTGGGAGGGGAAAAAAAGCCAAGCAACCTGTATAAGGGCTCCCCTAGGCGGGAGGGAAAAAACAAGCAACGTAAGGGAATCATTTGAGGAGATGGATCACTAAAACCCTAAGGATCCCTAAACCCAAAACCCTGAACCAAGCAACCTATACGAGGGAATGATTTGAGGAGATGCTGTCCAGCCTTCTGGAGGACCTGCCGGGAAAGAACCTTAGCTGCAGTCTGACCCAGCCAGCCGGGCTTAGGGGGTTAGGGCTTAGGGTGTAGAGTTTAGGGCTTAGGGGTTTAGGGGGTAGGGTTTAGGGCTTAGGGTGTAGGGCTTAGGGTTTAGGGTGTAGGGTTTAGGGGGTTAGGGTGTAGGGTTTAGGGTTTAGGGTGTAGGGTTTAGGGTGTAGGGTTTACGGTGTAGGGTTTGGGGTGTAGGGTTTAGGGTGTAGGGTTTAGGGCTTAGGGTTTAAGGTTTAGGGTTTATAGGGTTTAGGGTTTGGGGTTTAGGGTTTAGGCTGCAGGCGGGCTTATACAAGTCTGTGCAAAAAGTGGTATACAACTGTTTGGGAGGGATAGGCATCAGAAAGAAATTTAAGAGGCACAATAGCCATTTAATAATCATCAATTAAAACCCAAAGAGGCATCAACAACACTAAAGTGTTCAAAGCTTGAGAGAGAGAGAGAGAGAGAGAGAGAGAGAGAGAATGATAATGAGAAAGAGAAAGATAAAGAGAAAGAGACATCAATAACTAACGAAAGACCGACAGAAAGAACGAACGAAATACGCATTAAATAACGGCAGAAAAGAAAAGAAGGAAGGAATGAAGTAATAAATAAACGAAGAAAGAGCAAATTAGCAAATGCATGAAACACCGAAGAAAGAAATACAGTAACTGAGCGAACGAACGTGAGACGCATACTAGCCCTACACCGGTGCAAGGTAGAAGACCACGAAACCCTAAACTCGAGAATTGCCCGAGGCAAATGGTCCCGAGAATTGCTGCATTTCCCACGATATTGTGGGGAAGCTGTGGAGGGAGAGGGTGATGCTTCTGAGTATGTGAGTCTTTGGCTCTGAATCCTTAGCGCTCAGTTGTTTTCCTCTTGAAGTCGGTGGGGGTCTCGGTCTTTTTAGATGTAGGCAGGAGAGCAGATAGAGGAAGGTATAAGAAGTAGAATTGTGCAGGTCATGGAGGGCAAGGCCGCAAGTGAGGGAGCTGCCCAGAAGGAGTGCAAAAACGTCCTGGCTTCAGTTGGGGCAGGGATGGAGGGGAAGGGTCGGTGATGATGAAAGCCGGTGTCTTGTGGACTGAGTTCAGCGAGTGCGGTCGTATGAGATCCTCCCGCAGCAAAACTGGCCTCTGCTGGAAATGCGTCGGGCTCTCAGTTCGCTGGGACTTCATCGCAATACATGGAAGTGTAGCTGAGGGCATGACTCAACGTGACAACGACAAGCGCCGCCGCCGTGAGGACAACCGCGAGGCTGGGAGAGGGTGCACGAGACGAGAATACAGACAGAGAGAGGGAGTGAGAGAGGGACATACAGGGAGGGGCCGCTGCTTTTCTTTCTTTTTTCTCGTGGTAGGCTCTGAAGCTCGCCGAGCACGTTCGGCACCCAGTTTCTGCATAACAATTCTGGTGTGCTACTGTCGCCTCGGAGGCCAAGTACTGCATCGTCTTCGTCACCGTTGGCGCGGGGGGGGGGAGGGGGGGTGGATCGGCTTGTTTTCGTTGGTTGTTTCTTTCCTTTGTAGGCGATCCAATTTCCATCACGCGGTGCGTGTCCGAAAGCACCTTTCGGAGGTTCGTGGCCCGGTTGCCGTTTTATCATGGCTGTCGTGTTGATACAACTTGCGTTGAGGTTGCTCGGGTGGGGTTTTCTCGCGGTGTTTGTTTTGTTCGTTTGATTCGTTGGAAGGAAGATCAACTGCACGAAGTCCGAAAAAAGCTGGAAAAGGCATGGCGGGGGATGCGTTTTTGGGAGAAAGGCATTCGAGTACATTCTGTTTCCAGGAGAAGCACGCTGCTCAAGCCGCTGTCGATGCCTCATCTATTCATCGCGTGTGGTGACCTTGTGCGTTCGCGTGTGTGTGTGTGTGTGTGTGTGTGTGTGTGTGTGTGTGTGTGTGTGTGTGTGTGTGTGTGTGTGTGTGTGTGTGTGTGTGTGTGTGTGTGTTTGTGTGTGTTTGTGTGTGTGTGTGTGTGTTTGTGTTTGTTTGTTTGTGTGTGTGTGTGCTTGTGTATGTGCGTGTGTGATATTTGTTTTTTGTGTTTGTGTGCGTGTGCAGGAGGCCAATGGCGATGATCAGGTTGGAAAGCGGGGAGGGTAGAATACCGAGCGAGAGACAGAGAGAAAGAGAGAGAGAGAGAGAGAGAGAGAGAGAGAGAGAGAGAGAGAGAGAGAGAGAGAGAGAGAGAGAGAGAGAGAGAGAGAGAGAGAGAGAGAGAGAGAGAGAGAGAGAGAGAGAGAGAGAGAGAGAGAGAGAGAGAGAGAGAGAGAGAGAGAGAGAGAGAGGGAGAGAGAGAGAGAGAGAGAGAGAGATGAAAACGGAACGTGGATGCATGGCTTTGTATTGGCGGTTCTCGAGGACAAGAACTCCGCGAGGCCCAAACTCAGCGCATGGGGCTTGGTTGTGTCCGCTTAGAGAGAGCGTGGGGACATTATGTAGCATGGGCATTCGAGCACATTTTGTTTCGAGGAAAAGCGCCAAGCCGAGGCTGCGGTTGCGGCCTCAGCGAGACATTCATTGCGTGTGGAGAGCGGCGAGGGTGGAATGCCGAGAGAGAAAGAAAGAGAGAGAGAGAGAGAGAGACAGAGAGAGGGAGACGGAACGTGGGTCATGGCTTTGTATTGGCGGTTCTCGAGGACAGGAAGTCGGTTGATGCCAAGTTTACGTAGTTGTTTTGATCCTTGGGTTCAATCTTTTTGACGTCTATATAGTTTTGTATTGATGCCTCACCCGGTTGGAGCTCTAAAGCTAAAAAAGGGTTTATTGGTCCTCCATTTGGGTGGTTGTCAAGATTAGGGTCCCTTTTTGGGTCCTTATTACAATACGGCACCTAATTTTTTACGGTACCCAAAAAGGGACCATAATTTTGACAACCACCCATTTGGGTGTAGCGCCGATAGGTTTGTTGCTAGGCTTTCTGGAAACTTCAGACGGCTCAGTGAGGCCTTATTAGGCGAAGCAGCCCAGGGCCTACGTTAACGAGAGTTGCCCGGCACAGTCCGAGTGGGCGTCGGAAGCGCTAGATAAATCGCGAACTTAGTCGGTTTCTATGTTTTTGCTGCTTGCTTGTTGAAGTCTTTGCTTCTGTCGCCTGGTGTCCAACTAGCAATCTCAGCCGACCGATTGCCTGAAGTGCCAGCTCCTGAGCGAGTGTAAACCCTAAACCCTAAACCCCTAAACTCCGAAACAAACCCCTAAACCTAGACCGTAACCCCTAAACCCCTAAAGTCCTAAACCCTTAACTCCTAAACCCTAAATCCTTAAACCCCTAAACCCTAAACCCCTAAACCCTTCTATCCAGGCAGGCCCTCGCCGCGGTGGTCTCGACCGTTTGGGATCGTTTGGCCGCCTTCAGAGCCTGGGGGCCGAGCTTGGGGTCGACCCAGCTTAGGGTCTAGGGCTTTAGGGTTTAGAGGTTTAGGGCTTAGAGGTTTAGGGCTTAAGGTTTAGGTTGCCCGACGCAAAAGTTTTCAGGTTTAGGGATCAAGGTTGAGGGTTGGCTCAAAGTGGAGGTTTTGGCCTGAACGCGCCAACTATCTCCCAAGGCTATGGGGAAAGCGATTCAAGTTTGGAGTGCCGGGTGCTGGCATAAAGAGAGTTGCAAGGCCAGGTTTGGGGGGGCTTGAAACATCTTAATGCCAAGCAAGACGTGGATCATGGTTGTCTTTACCTAGGATCCCACCCTCAATGCTCCACCCCGAAACCCTAAACACCTCGTTTTTCTGGCCTAGGCTTATCTCCCAAAAATGCGGGAAGCGACTAACCCCAAAATCCGGGCCCCCACCAGAGTACAAAAGGAGCCTAAATTTTCTTACCTGTAAGTTCCTTCTGGGAAAATGGGCCAAAACCCTTTCCCTAAGGCTCCATGTACCCATATAGTATATACTTGGGCCTTAAAGTACCCATATGGGGACCCCTTTAAGGCTTAAGTATCTACTATAACGGTACATGGAGCCTCTGGGTTTTCTAATTATCAAGGCGCCTCTAGTACGTGACCCGTGCCCTCCTCGGACCCCATCAAGAAGTACGTGACCCCTCTCGTACTATGGAGGCTTGAACAATTAGAATAGAGTAATGGAGTAATTATTGGAGTAATTACATTATTAAATTATACTACGACTACAATAAGGAAGACCCACAATAGTATTTATGAGTAATTATTTCGGCCCGTACATTACAGACCCTGACTGAGCGAGACCGTTATTCAGGGAACATCCGTAACCCAGACGCTTGGTTCGTACTAAACCCTAAATCCCTAAACCCTAATTACCCCCCAAACCCCTAATCCCTAAACCCCTAAACCCTAAATCCCAAACCTCTAAACCCTAAATCCGAAAGCCTGCATTTCCCTACAAACTCCTCCAGAGCATCAACGCCTGGCCTATTGGCTGCGGCCGGTTCATCAGGTAGCCTGAACGGCAGTCTCTTAAAGGGTACTGTCATAGGGCTCCATAATCGCGTTCCCTTGAAGGGTACTACAGGGCTCCATGTAGTAGGCTTCCGTCAAAGGGTACTATAGTGGGCCTCTATAGTAGGGTTCGTTTAAATGGTATTTTGGAACTCTATAATCGAGTTCCCTTTAAGGGCTCTATGGGGTTCTATAATCGGATTCCCCGTAAATTTAACGGATATGAGAATGGTTCCTTTAAAGGGAGGGAGGATCGTATACAGGATCAAAGGCACCCCCCCAAGTATGCTACCCGAGGATTCCTATAGTTTTAAAGCAGAGGTCATCTTTAGCTTCCTTTGCAACGGTTTGTCAAATGGCTAAACAAGTAAGGGTTCTAGACGAGGGGGTTCGGATTGATTTTTTTGCGGGGATTTTTGGGGCATAGGGAGTCTGGGCTGTGATGGGCCCAGAGAGCGATCTAAATAATGTATAGGCTTCGATTTAGGTTTTGTACGGTTTGCAAGTTTGGTTTGATTTAACACACATATTCTCTATAGTGGGCGGGGGTCGATTAAGGCGTCTTGGTTTCTGTGGCATGGGGTTTAGGACCGCAGGCTTGTGGGTTCTTTCCTACCCCGCCCCCAGCAAAAAGGGAGCGTGGCCAAACCCCCCAAAAATGAAAAACCGCAAGCCCGAAAGCAAAGCCAAGGCCCAATCCTTTGCTCCAGCCTTACGTGCGGTCGTACAACTAAAACCCGCAAGCTCCCAACCCCAAACCTTGTACCCTAAACCCTGAACTCTAAACCAAACCTTGTACCTGTCTTCTCCGGGTGAAGAGTTAACAAGTCGCTAGTCGCCTCGGTATGAAATGTTTCCGGCAGCTGTTCAGCCAAGATTCCCTGCAATGCGGGCTTCTTCCTTGCTCGGTAGGAGGGGAAAAAACCTTTAAACGACTAAAATCCTAGGCCCTAGAACCTAAACCTCTAAAACCCTAGAACCCTGAGCCCTGAGGTGCTGTTCGCCAGCTCGTGGCTCTCTTTCCTGGATCCTCGCCTGAGGCACAGGGCGTCTTGTTTCCTCAATAGGGTTCATGGTTTAGGGTTCAGGTTTTAGGGTTTAGGGTTCAGGGTTTAGGTTTCATTTTTATGTTTGTTTCCTCTTGTCTTTTTGGACTATGTCTGCTTCTCTTGGGGGGTGTGAGACAGGGTTGCCTTGAGCTCCATTTTCTGAGCTTGCTCAGGTACAGGATTCACGGCTTGGGGTCATGCCTTGCTCTTTCCGTTTTCTCCACCCTAAACCCTGAACCCGCAGCTTTACCAGCATTTCTGCTCAGCGGAGCTCAGGAAGCCTTTCTACCTCAGTCTCTATGATAGTTAGTTCCTGTTCTTTGAGCGGACTAGGTCTATGTTACAAGATAAAACTAGGTTACCCATAGGCCGCATAGGCCCCATTGTAGTTCCTTTTTGGGATTACCTTATAGGATTCTAAATATGAACCCCGCAAGGGAACTACTATGGGGCCCATGGTTAACCACAGAAGGAACTACAATGAAGACTGTAGGTACCGTAGATGACATGCTTCAGTCGTCCCTTCAGCTCGTTCTCTTAAGCTTCACCTCAGCGATGAACTCAGACACATAGAACAGTATATAATTGTATGTATACATATATATATATATATATATATTATATATATATATATATATATAAATATATATGTGTACATAGTACAGTAGTCGAGTGTAGTTTAGAACGGTATAGCATAGTGTAGAGAAGCATAGTTTTGTATAGTCTACATCTGACAGTCAGAGCTGTGACCCCTCGGCCTTCTAGCCAGATGAAGCTGTTCACGTTCACGCCCTTGTTTGCTGACAGCCTGGGAAGTGCTAGACGACTTGTAAGGCCCTCGTGAGGGAGACCGAACTACCATTAACGGTTACTTGCATCGCCTTTAAGCAGATATTGTTCTTGCCGTGCAGGCGTTGACACTGTCACCTAGTATTGATATCATGGTCGCCGCTACTCCTGACATTTTCCGGTTTACAGCTGTGTCTACTGCATATCTAGGTGATTTTACGATCAGCACTGGTCTTCGTTTTGGTAGGCGTGCAAGTGCTAGTGCTGCCGCCACTCGTAATGCCACTGCCGCTGCTGCTGCTCCTACTGATCCTTCTCCTCCTCCTGCTACTAGCACCACTACTGCTACGGCCACTGCTGCCGCTACGCCTACTGCTGAGCTGCGACTATGACTGCGACTGCGACTGCTGCCGCTCCTGCAGCTGATGCGTGTGTGACTACCATAAGGCCCCAAAGTAGTTCCTTTTTGGGGTTCGTATATAGAATCCTATAAGGTAATCCCAAAAAGGAACTACTTTGGGGCCTATGGGTAAGCATACAGCGTTACTCGTGTTCCTGGTGTTGCCATCAGCCAGCATGGCGTCCACGATGATTGCCACGAAGATGCCCAATAGCTGTACAGATCCCTTTATGGAGCCCAAGTCAAAAAGTCCCATGATCCCCCAAGTAGACCCTAAACCCTAAACTGCCCTAAACCCTACAGATCCCTTTAAGGAGCCCTAGATCCCGCAAGTAGACCCCCAAAAAAAAACACCGAGGGAAGCCCTGGCCAGGCTCCTTCTCGCCCGCCTGAGCCAGGGCTCCGGGACCCAACATCCAGCCTGCCGTCGCTGTCGTGGCCGGGAGGCCCGGGGCCGAGGGTTCAGGGTGAAGAGTTTAGGGCTGAGGGTTTTGGGTTGAGAGTTTTAGGGTAGGGTTGAGGGGTTTAGGGTAGGGTTGAGGGTTGGAGTTTAGGGTAGGGTTAGGTTTGAGGGTTTAAGGGGCAGACGAGATGTCACGCAGTGGCGGACCAACCGAGACCCCAAGAGCGGGTTGGGGGACGGGGTGGAGGCAATGAGCATTTTTGAGCAGCCCGCAGAATGATAACGACAGCGAGCGAGGGATAGGGAGGAGGAGGAGACACTGATGTGACATGTGCATGGTGTGCATGTGGAACCGCCCGTGTCTATGTACAGAAGAACAGAGTTTAAGGCTAGCTCATCCAGGCATGAATATGCAGCAATGGCATGTTTGCATTGTGTCCTTGACCCTCTTCACGGACTGGATGTCGGCACTCGTATGCCTTGGCGTAAAGTTTCTGATTCACGGCACCTAGATTGGGGCCATTGGCCTTATGGACCTTGGCAGACCTGCAAGTTAGGGATTTGTCGTAGGCTGTTGTTTGCCCATGGTGAAGGCGCAAGCCAGCTCAACATTCTCATGTATCAGCACCCAATGCGATAAGCTTTCCAATTGGCTGCTCGTTCTGCTCTGGCCGCTGCTGCAAGCACGGCCGACCGCACGAAGTGTTGCACATGGTGGGAAGTGGAAATCAGGCGGTTCAGGGCCGAATTTGTTCCATTCAAAGCGAAGGAGACATAATGTCCTTTCCGTGCAGGTAACCAATCATGTCGCTGACGACGTGCCGCGCAGGCTGTTGCGAAGATTAGACGTGGAGGACAGACCTACCGCTAAGCACAATGGCTTGAAACTAAGACATCAGTTCCTCCGATTGGAGATGACATCAACAGACGCAGGCATACCGGCAATAGTCTCAGATAGCATCAGGAATACCAATCAAACCCCAAACCCTTTGAACCCTGCAATCCTTATCCGGGTTTTACGTTCGGTTTTTCAAGCTCCAGATCCTTCAGTCGAGGCGACTGGCGAGTCTCTTTGACTTGTGCTTTTGCAGTCGGTTTAGGGTCCAGGGTTTGGGGCTCAGGGTCTCTCTGTTTCTCATGTGGTAGGTGTACCGAAGCCTAGCTTTTGAAGGGTCCCTATAAAATCTTGTTTCGTCATCATAAACTCATAAAGAAATTGTTTACTGTCACATTATACACACGGTTCAGGGTTTAGGGCTTTAAGCTTGCGGTTTAGGGTTGATGACCTTCAAGGTTTCTACGTAGTAATTTTCGGGCCAATCTCAAGACAGTTTAGTGGGCACAGCACAGGAACAATGACCGTGTCTCATATCGTAGACGGACCGCATGGTTGGACTTCGGGGAAAGCCTGCCGGAACGGACGAAGTACCTGCCGAATGCATGCCCAACAGCCCGTACATGTCCAAACAGCGTTCGCATTCCTTCCTTGTGTACTTTCTGCTTAGCGCTTCGTAGCAGGAGATAAGAAAGAATGTCTACGCCTTTCCGGCGATGACAGCTGACTTCTGTCGCATCTTCCTGGAGGAGCTCACATTCTTTTACGCCTCTGGTCTCAAGTCTGCCAGGCTCAGTGCGAGCAAAGCCCCTGTCCTTCGGGTCCAACATTTGTCGATAAAGATTCGTTTTGAAAGGATCCTTTTGCTGTAGAAGATCTTTTGGGGTTCCTTGAATTACAAGCCCCGACAAGCCCTGCTCAGAAAAATATTATATGCATATGATATGGCATATGTACAAGTTTATGTGTGTGTATATATATATATGTATACATGTAGAGGCTTACATATACAAGAGGCCAAGAGATAGAAGGAGGAAGAGGTAGGCTGGCCATGCGACCTTGAAAGGCCAAACTCCATGAATCGTTATGGCGCTGTTCTGGAAGAGATGGGCCTGGCTCCGGCAGTGGCTGACTTCCAGAGGCAAGGATGAAGAGACAACGACATTTGTTTGAAAGGTTCGGGGCTGTAGACGATTACTGCAGGGCTTTGAGTGTTGCCCAAAAAACTCCCTGGACACATGTGAGGTTGACACACACACACACACAAACACTTCCGTCAAGAGACGCTGTGTCGGGATTGCTGGAACAGACATGTTCTGTCTTCTGGTGTTTGGCCGTCTTTGGGCTTGAAAATTATCAATGTAATGTGGTATAAGGTAGTTTAATTTGCGGTATGTCCGTGGATGCAAAGTGCCTGCACGCATTTGTGCATGTGTGCTTGAATGCATTAATGCAGGCATGTATGCATGAATGCATGTGTGTTCGTATTCATGTATGTATAAATGTATGTATGCATGCGGGTGTATGTATGTAGACGGGTGTGTATGTATGTAAGTGAGTCTAAGTAAGTATAGATGGATGTTTGCATGTGTGCATGATGTGTGCATGTACATACGTACATATGTATGTATGTATGTACGTATGTGTGTATGTCGGTTGTTACATGGCTAGCGGTGTCAACTGTAGAGGGCGTTCTTGATGTCCGTTGTTCGACGCCGGGTCGTGCAAAAGTTCGCCGAGACCCAGCAAACCCAGAAACCTTACTTGGAGGGGCAGAGGATTTAGTAAGTAGGTTATAAGTAGAGTTATAAGTACCCTAAATGGAGTTACCCCAATTATAACCCTACTTATAACCTACTTACTAAGTCCCCTGCCCTTCCAAGTTATAACCCTAAACTACGCACAGGCAGGTCCTCCTGCCGCTAGCCAGAGCCTTCTTCCCGAGCATCGGCGATGAGTTGGATGGCCATCATGCCTTCGTTGCACTTTGCTTAAATAGGTTGCCATTATAACTCCCTCCAAAACCTCGTCTGACTTGTCGAGCACGAGTGGCAAAAAAGTCTATCATCTGTTCGCAAGGGCAAAGCCCCCAGACTTCATACGGTTGTTTCAGTTCCTGAGCTGTTCTGGTACACTGAGAGTACTCGTACTCCTGGGAAATCTGGGGTTGCACTCAACGTGCAGCCCTAAGGCTACATGTAGCATGCCTATGTAGTATACCTACGTAGTATACAGTAGATAATAGTATATACTTAGGCCTAAAAGAGGTTGCCGTATCACCAGTTGAAAGACTGATGGATCTGATCTACACGCCCGCTGCACGAAGCTAACCTTCAGGTCCACTATCGGCCAGAGGCGGGCCGTGGTGATCAAGATCTTCCACCGCACCGTGACGATTCGGAGGCTTCAACATAAAGCAAATCAGAGCGCTTAGCGCGTTGAGGGCTTTGGGTGTTTCGGGTTTGAGGTTCATAAGCTTTTCTTTTGTCACGGGCCAGATTGTCCAGTGCCGCAGAAAGTAGAGTAGTTTTGCGTCACGACAATGCCAGCTTGCAACATGCAGGTTGATAGACTTTAGCAATCGTGCGCTGCAGAGGGCGACTCGTTGCTGCTGCGAGTGTATAGCGTGCGGTTGAGACCAAATCATGAGAGTTACCCTGTCAGCAATCACGAATGATACGCCGCAGGTGACCTTCAACATGGCTTTGGGACGAAGCTGGCAAGGCTGCCGCCTGATATTCTGCGGACTCATGCAGGAGCCAGACGTCCACCAGCATCAAATCAGCTACGATTTCCCAGGCACCGGAGTGCAAGCTGAAAGTCACAACATGTCACACCCAAGGGACCACCCGAAGGCTTTAAACAAGATGTCGAGAGCCTTCTGAGCTCCACAACCGAAGCCTTAAACTGCGCATTCTGAGTCCTAAACCCTAAACCCAAAAGACTTCAACAAAGCCTAACCTGCCCTTAGCCAGGAAACCCGTCCATAGAACTCGATTGAAACCCCCGATAAAATGCCCTTACAAAAGCCGTGTATCAACCTCAACACCCCAAACCATGAACTCATATATCAACCCTATAAGCCCTAAACTCCCGGGTCTTGCTGGCGGAGTCCGAATTGCGAGAGCGTGAACCCTTGCTGTAATTGGGACGTCGGCAAGCTTGTCCCAGGTGTGAGTGCTGAAGCCATGCTGAAGCCCTACTCACAGGATCATGGGACCTAGTAGCTAAAGTTATTCGGGCAACTATACTTGTAGTTACTTCTACAGTAACCTCCATTGAGGTATTTCTAGACTAGGACAACTATATGTATAATTACTGCTAACCACCATTGAGGTTTTGAAAACCTGACTTACTAAGTCCTATGAGTCTCCACGTAGACGGCGTTTTCATCACTTCAGTGAAGGAAGCTGCTCACACCCTCCAATTGCGGAATTTACCTGACATTATAAAGGGCCTGAATACTATGATCTTAAAGACATAATTATTCCTATCCTAAACCTTATAAGCTCTAAGCCCTAAACTTAACCTTCCTTAACTAAGGGGTATTGAGCTCCCCCTTACAGTAAAAGCCAGAAAGTTGGAATATGATTATCCTAAGCCCTTTATGGTAAATTATAGGGTATCCTACCCTGAAACCATATTCCAACTTTCTGGAGCTCCCTTAAGCCTTGGAGCGCCTGGGAGGCGCTGGATGGGCGGTCTTACATCTCGGCCGTCAGGCAGGGGGGGGAAATGTTGCTATGGATAACTAAGCGGGTTTAGGGGTTTAGGGTTTCCGGGTTGGGGTGCTTTAGGGTTTATAAGGCAGGATTACCTGCGGACTAATGACTAATCTGCCTTTTCAATCAGGTTTCTCAGTCGCATGCTCAGAAGCTAGGGGCGCTGTCACGAGCACAGTCCTGACTGGCGGAAGAGCGGCAAACTACCAGGCGTCCTTGCAAGCAAGCCTGCAGCAAAAAGGCAGGATTACCCTTGTCTTGTTTTATCCGGCAGTTTAATCAGTATTCAGGTTGCAAACTTGCCACTTGCTGAACATACATCTGGCCCGGAAGGTTCACGCGGCCGAAAACATTCTCCGCGGCGAGCGGACGAACCTGGCGGCTCGGAGCAAAGCTGACCCCCTACTTGGAAGGGCAGGGGACTTAGTAAGTAGGTTATAAGTTATAAGTAGGGTTATAATTGGGGTAACTCCATTTAGGGTACTTATAACTCTACTTCTAACCTACTTACTAAGTCCCCTGCCCTTCCAAGTAACTACCCTAAACCCTAAACCATCGTCGCTTCTTCCATGGGGGTAATTCAATTGCAGAACTCGTCCCCAAAATTCCCTTTACTCCCCCAAAGCCATATGGGAGTTTCCGACAATTAGGCGTACCTCAGTTTGGGGATCTTCAAAAAGGATCCTACTACTAGGGTACTATATTAGGGTCCCCTATTTCTGGAAACTCCCATATATTCTGATTCTAATTTGTAAAGGTCCCTGGCTTGGACCACGGCCTCCATCCTAAGCTCGACTACCCTTGGCATGTTTATGCTAAGGACGTGAAGAGACGAGAGACTCCATGGGAAGGTTTCGCAGTAAGTACATGTGCATAAATACATCCTCACAATATTCCTTAGGCTTTCCTTGCTGTACATATTTTGTATCATACTACCCGAAACCCTATTCGTTTTGGTCAGGCCCATAAAATTATTGTTCTAATTACTGTCAGGGCCGTGTAGTAGAAATGTTCAAGGCCCGTGTGTTTGTTGACGTAGCCCTCGTCCGATAGTCCTCTGCCTCCACGCTAAGCGTTTCATTAACAGACCCAGACCATCGAACTTGCGCCTCGTGTCGGGGTAAGGGCGTCGAGAACTCCTTCCTGAAGGCCTTTCTCAACATCCTAACCAAAAGACCCGAAATACCAACTGCCCTAAACCCTAAACCCTGAGCCCCTACCCATCTCAACCATGAAAACGCCGGACATCTTAAAAGCTCTTGGGGCCTACAGGTGATCTGGAGCAGGAGCTGGGTTTGGCGCGTTGCAGGCAAGTTTTTGCCTGATTATTTAAAGAACTTGATTTTGGGTGCTCTTTGCAAAAGGTGTTGCGTATAAGTTCATTGATCAAGAAGAACCCCACGCTTCTGAGGATCTTGTGCGTCTACGGTTTCGAAATGCGTGCTTCAGCGAACTGATTGGAGTTGCAATAGTTTCGAGGAGACTACGGCCCAATGCGTGCTTATATGACTTATGACGTGTGATACGGGGTTTGGGGATTTAACCTAGGCGGCTTAATCGTTCGCAGGGGTCCTTACAATTCTGTTTCCACCCCCGCCCAAACACACAAACAACCGTTCAGTTATTCAGACCTCAATATAGTAGGGTTCCGGAGCCAAACAGCCTCATGCCGGTGTCACTGTATTGCAGAGTGCTTGGAGTTAGAGAGCTCAATACCTCTTTGGTTGAGGAAATATACCTTGTAAACTTATGCAACATCTACGCAGTGCATATGCCTCTATATGCCATTGGGGGCCCCACCCTTAAACAAAGAACCTAACGGGTGGACAGGTAAACTCAGTTCCCTCCGTGCAGGCGGCGACGGACAGTTGACCACCTGGCCGCACGAGGGGCACAGCGATCATCGGTGCTTGCCGGCGCGCAGGAAAATAGAAAAGGGGCGGCTGATGTTGGCGACCCAAAAAGCACCTAAGCATAAGCATTTTATAGGGATATCCCTACCTTATTGGCCTTCATTATAAGGGGGTTTACATGGGATATCCCTAGCCTCATTTTGCTTATGTGCTTTTTGGGGGGCCCTATGATAGGGTTTGCGGACTTGGGGTTGATGGTTTTAGGGTTTAGGGACAGTTACAAAGGGAAGTTCCGGGGTTAGGATAAAAGTAGAAGCCAGAAAGTTGCCCTCCAGATCCATGCCTGTAAATATTGCATACGTGGCCATGTCATTGTCTCAGGGGTGCGCGGGGCATGACAGCGATTTTCGCTGTCATTTGCGTCAGGAGGCTGTTTAACATAATGTATGTACGTACTTGTATATGTGTATATACATACCATATACCAACATGAACCTATAAATATATATATATATATATATAGATATATACATTTAAGAATGCTAAAAAATTACTAGGAGTAAGAGTATATTCGTCTTAGTCTTAGTCTAGTACTAGTACTAGTATAAGTACTATAGTACTAGTACTAGTACTGGTACTAGTACTAGTACTAGTATTAGTATTAGTACTAGTATTAATATTAGTATTAAAATTCGTATTAGTACTAGTAGTAGTGTAGTAGTAGTCGTAGTAGTAGTAGTAGTGGTAGTAGTAGTAGTATTAGTATTAGTATTAGTATTAGTATTCGTATTCGTATTAGTATTAGTATTAGGATTAGTATTAGTATTAGTATTAGTATTAGTATTAGCATTAGCATTAGTATTAGTATTAGTATTACTATTAGTATTAATATTAGTATTAGTATTAGTATTAATATGAATATGAGTATGAGTATGAGTATTAGCATTACTATTAGTATTCGTATTCGTATTCGTGTTCGTATTCGTATTCGTATTCGTATTCGTATTAGTATTGGTATTGGTATTGGTATTAGTATTAGTATTAGTATTAGTATTAGTATTAGTATTAGTATTAGTATTAGTACTAGTATTAATATTAGTATTAGTATTAGTATTAGTATTAGTAGTAAACTATCAATATATAGTGTATAGTGTGTATTATAGCATAGTAATATTTAATCAAAGTATAATACCAACATTATATACATAAAGTGTAAATGGAATAGAACACAGTATAAGGTATAATTTACTACCCAGGTATTGGTAACAATACAAGTTAAAGTAGCAGCAGTAGCAGCAGTAGTAGTAGTAGTAGTAGTAGTTGTAGTAGTAGTAGTAGTAGTAATAGCAGTACTAGTACTCGTATTAGTACTGGTAATAGTAGTATTAGTAGGAATACTAGCTATAGTAATAGTGATAGTAATAGTAATGGCACTAGTAATAGTAATAGTAAGGACAATAGTAATAGTGATAGTAATCGCAAGAGTAAAAGAAATATAGATAAATAACGATGGTGGTATTAACAATAATAGGATATTAGTTGTAATAGTAATGGATAGTAATAGTACTAGTAATAGTATGAGTAATGGTAATAGTAACAGTAATAATACGAGCAATCGTAATAGTAATCACAATAGTACTAATAATAATGTTAGTTATAGTAACCGTAATAGCAATATTAGTATTTATCGTAATATAGCAATAGTAATAGTACAAGTAACAGTAGTCGTGATAGTATTAGTAATAGCATGTATACTAGTAGCGATGGTAATAGGAATAGTGACAGTCGTAATATCAGCAATAGTAGCAGTAGTGGCAACAATAGCAGTAGCAGTAGTAGTAGCAATAGCATGACAGCGACAGCAATCGTAATGGTTGTGCTCGAAATCCATATATGCAAGCTTTGCTAAGATACATCTGCTTGCTCTTGGGGCGTAGCCCAGCATATGATCGCAGAAATGGTTGTCATTCTGGAAACAACTGTTTCCGCAACATGGAGTTCTCGAAAGTATACAAAACAATCACAGTCCGCTAAATGGTATGTACACAGAATGTAACAGTCTGTGAAATTAAGTGGCCGATCTCTGCTGGCAAAGTACTTTTGAAACTGGGCAGCCGCATGAACGTATGATACTATACCCAAAAGCTCTCTGAAGCGAGACCCTTGAAACTACAACTTGATCCCGCCCCCGGAGCCCGATAGCTTTAAACCAGGATTGCTGAAAGCCACGGAGCCGCAGGTTCATGAGATTGTGGGCATGTTCGTAGTTGGGAGGTTTTCTTTCCCTTGACATTCATTAATTCACAGCAC